CCGAATTCCTTGATCTCGTGGACAAGTTCATGCGAACGGAGGAGGAGATCCATCAAAGGACTAGGGGCAGGTTTGAAAAAAGAAAGAGAGAACTCCCCAGCCAAGGAGACAGCCGGAAAGATCCAACTCGAGCGCCAAAACCGAGCCAGCCGTTTCGAGCTCCCGTGGTAGGTCGGACAGACTATACACCCTTGAACACAAAGCGGACTGAGATTTTAATGACGATCAAGGACGCCCCATACGTAAAGTGGCCACCTCGCCTAAATGGGAAACCAAACGAGAGGAACAAAAACCTGTACTACAGTTTCCATAGAGATCACGGTCATAGTACCGAAAATTGTAATAATCTCCGCGACGAGATAGAGCAACTCATCCACCGTGGGTACTTAAGAAATTTTGTACAGCATAGTAGTAACAATAATAATAATAATAGTAAGATAGGTCGGCAAGGGGAGCGCGGCAAAGATGCTCCTGAATCTAGCAGCAGGCCGGCCGAACAGCCATAGAAGCAGCCTCCGGAAGAGAGGCCAGTTCGGGGGACCATCCCCGTGATAATGGGAGGTTCGGTTGTAGCAGGGTGCACTTCGGCAGCGGCCCGGACGTCACTACCCTCACGACGATACACTTGTGATCAAGCTGAGGATCAACGACTTCGAAGTCAGGCGCGTGCTTGTCGACTCAAGCAGCTCGGCAGACATTCTATTCAAATCGGCGTTTGACCAGCTCCAGATGCGGGGAAGTGACTTGAAGCCCGCGAACACTCCCTTGGTGGGCTTCAGTGGGGAAGAAGTCATCCCCCTTGGGAAAGTGACAGTACCCATCGAGGTCGGCACGTGGCCTTGTGCAGTCAGACTCAACCACGACTTCCTGGTGGTCGCGACCCCCTCCCCATACAACGCCATAGTGGGGCGGCCAATCACCCACGTCTTACGGGTGGTGGTCTCCACCTACTATTTGGCGATGAAGTTCCCCACGGACTTCGGTGTAGGAGTAGCGCGGGGCGACCAACTCGAGTCCCACAAATGCTATGTGGCCGCCTTGAAGGGAAAAACCAAGGTGGCCGGCGAACTCGAATTGGAACGCCCTACGGAGCAAGGCGAAGTGCGAGCTATGCCCACAGAAGAAACGGTCGCGGTCCCGACTTCGACGAGACCCAAATCGGATGCTACAGATTGGTGTTTCCATCCAAGAACCTCTACAATCCGAACTGGTAAGTTTCTTACTTCAAAATTTATATATTTTTGCTTGGTCCGCTGCAGAAATGCCCGGCATAGACCCTGTGCTCATAACTCACAAGCTCAATATTGACCCTGTAGTCAGACCCATTAGACAGAAGAAACGCAACTTAGCCCCAGAACGCTGAAGGGCGGTCAATGAGGAGGTCGAGAAGCTCCTCGAAGCAGACTTCATCAGGGAAGCTCATTACCCGAGCTGGGTAGCCAACCCAGTACTAGTAAAAAAGGCAAACGAAAAATGGCACATGTGCGTCGACTACACCGACCTAAACCGAGCTTGCCCAAAAGATTGCTTCCCCCTCCCCAGGATTGACCACCAGTAGATGCGACCTCGGGACGCGAGTTGCTAAGCTTCCTAGACGCTTACTCGGGCTACAACCAAATCAGGATGGACCCAACCGACGAGGAAGAAACAACCTTCATAACCGAGTTCGGCCTATACTGTTACAAGGTCATGCCTTTCGGACTGAAAAATGCTGGGGCGACCTTCCAAAGACTTGTGAATAAGCTGTTTCGGCCCTTAATTGGCACAAAAATAGAATGTTATGTAGACGACATGGTCGTCAAGACACAATTTTCGCATGAATTAGTACAAGACTTGCATTCTGTCTTCCAAATTCTTCGACAATTTAACATGAAACTAAACCCAACTAAGTGTGTCTTCGGTGTCACATCGGGCAAGTTCCTAGGGTACATCGTCAACCAACGCGGTATTGAGAACAACCCGGACAAAATAAAGGCCATCTTAGATATGAGACCACCACGAAAAGTAAAAGAGGTTCAGAGTCTAAACGGCAGGATAGCCGCTCTGAGTTGTTTCATGTCTAAACCATCAGACCGCTGCCTGCTCTTCTTCAAGGCGATAAAAGGAAAAAGGTTCAAGTGGATCCTAAACTGCCAGCTTGCATTTGACAAGCTCAAGAAATACCTCGCCAGTATCCCGGTGTTGACCCGGCCTGAAGACGGCGATGTTTTAGAACTGTACCTTTCAACAAGCGACGAAGTGGTCAGTTCGGTACTGATAAAGGAAGCAGATCGGGTCCAACGACCCATCTACTATGTTAGTAAAATATTGCAGGGAGCAGAAACAAGATATCCAGAGATAGAAAAGCTAGCCTATGCGCTGGTCATCGCGGCCCGCAAACCGCCCGTATTTCCAAGCCCATACCATCGTCGTCCTCACCGACAAACCCCTAAGGCAAGTATTACTTAGACCCAAGGTCTCTGGACGATTGACGATTGACGAAGTGGGCCATCGAACTCAGTGAATACGACCTCCAGTACAAGCCCCGAACTGCCATCAAAGCCCAAGCCTTGACAGACTTCGTTGCAGAATGCACATTCCGCTCCGAGACCCCGGGCCCGGCCGAGCATGAGGCTCCCAGTTCGAGTGAGCTCGGTGCTTCCAAGAAAGTCGAGTCTGAGCACCGTGAGGTCATACCCAGATCGGTATCTCTCCTGGTTAGGCCAAGTGCGAACTGGGATGAGGAGCCCTAGATCCTTCACATGGATGGGTTCCTCGAATCAGTAGGGCAGCGGAGCCGGTGTAGTTCTTCGTGGCCCGAGTGGCATAAAACTAGAGTACGCGCTACGCTTTGAGTTCGTGGCATCCAACAATGAGGCGGAATATGAGGTGCTAATAGCCGGGCTAGCCCTAGCACAAGAAGTAAGAGCGAAGCAGATAGTCGTTTGCAGTGATTCCCAGCTCGTGGTCAACCAGGTCACCGGCGAATATGAAGCTCGCGAGTCAACCATGATCGCCTACTTAGCAAAGGTAAAGGAGGCTCTCCTCAGCTTCCAGTCACACTTCATCAGACAAATCCCAAGGTCAGAG